TAATTTTGTTTAATTTTATTGAAAAAAGATGCTTTCAAACAGCAACTACACTTTATTTTACTATGATGTGCGAAATATTGCGCAATGAAAACCAAAGTCAGCCCTCTTAAATTTCAGAATAATGAGAGGTCAATCAGATATTTTAGTAAAGAATCGTTTTTAATAATGACGAGATGGTTGCAAATCTTTATTATTTATATGTCTCTAGCTGCTCTGTAAATTCATGTTCTTAAAACAGGTTTCAGATAAATATGTTCGGCCCTTTGAATAATTCTGAAAATGGACAAGCCCCCCTTCCCCTTTTCATGACAATTTAGTCTAAGATATCATCATTTAGTCCAAAATTAAACTAAAAACAAGATCAAAACCCAAGCGCGGAGCATATTCCATATTTTAAATAATTATTTTATTTGGTTCTTAATTATTTTTCATGTCTTTTTTCTCTCTTTCAAAAATACATATCATAACACTAAGGTTTGTAGATTTGTTTCTTACTAAGACATCCGCGGAAAACACTTCATAACCATTCATAATTCATGTTTTCTTGATATCGGACCATATAAGGTCATCAGGTTCATCAAATCGACTGGATCAATCTTCATTTCTTTGGTAGTAAATGATGTCGCTGATGATCTTCCTACTACTAATAATGTAAATTCACCATACGTTGAAAATTATACGGATCTCACATAAAGGTAACTTAAACATATCTTAATCATATTACAACAACATGCAAATACTGTGCATAGTATTAGTTTGGACATGTTTCATAGGTAGGAGGAAGTTTCTTTAAATAAAAATCATCTGAATTTTCGTTTCACACAGGCGTCTCGGTGTCTCGCTTTATGTATTTAGAACAATGCAGGAAATTCGTGTGTTAAAATATAGTGTATGAAAAATACCATGTCATGTGATTTTACTCCATTAGATGAACATTTTGAACCAATATTTAGTCCTTGACTGCTGCAGATTGCTAGTAAAATGAGATTCAACGGGAAATTGTATTCTTTGAATTCACTTTCCCTCTATTTTCTGTTTTCGTGGAATTAATAGCATATTGAAGAAATATTTTATTTTTTTTTTTAGCTTTTTGCAGAGTTGACATGGAAAATATTGTACTTTAAGAGGCAGTCCACTGAAAATCAGGCAATGGGTGGCACATCGCATATCATGGATTTTTTTTTATTTTTTGCATATAGACTTATTAAAGCAAGTGTTTACACATGACAACATCAAAAAAATTTTCAGTGCTCCTCTAGTCCCATTTTTTGGCAATTGCTTAATTTTAAGTGCAAAAAGGTCAACATAGGGTTAAAAAAATTACTACTTTTTTATTTTGTTTTATATGTACCAGTTACGCAAAACCTGGATGTGTCTATCAATCTTATTTATACCATAGACTCTTATCTTTAATTTTAGTAATGAATAAAACTCCAATTTATATTTCTATAGAAAAAAATATGTGGTCCAAAGTTGAGTTTAGCAAGTAACATTTTGAATTCATTATCCAACTTTCATTACGTTATAAAACCCAATACATTTCAATGACAGATTTTTTTTTCTCATGTTATTATGAATACAAAATACAAACTATTGAGTCACTCAATAAAATCAGTGGGCACCCGTATATTGAGAGAAATAAAAGGAGTCAAATTTACCTATGTTTTACAATCTTTCACAATTAAATCGATCCCGACCGGAATTATATAAAGAAGGAAATACTATAATTGTAATGTTAAATTTGGCTCTTTTGTTGTAGTATGGACAAAAAATTACTTGATTTATTTTTTTACATGTCTTATGGGTGGCAGTTGTCTTTAGTTTTATAACTTTACAAATTTTGCATTATTTTCAATCGGGATCGGTTTTATTTCAATCGGGATCGGTTTTTACCGTAAAACTAGAAATATTCTGCATTTAATGTATCAGAAAAAAATATGCTTGTCTTTTATTTCACGTGCAAATATCTTGGGGGTGGGTATGGAATGCCATATACGACAGCCAACTGCTTACTGCCAACTGTCAGCTGCTTACTGCTAACTGAGACACATAATTGAATAATTTTTTTTTATTGATATTTATGTGTATTTTCAAAAAAAGGGGGCGGATCTAGAACATTTTTTCCAATAGGGTCACTCATGTTAAAAAAAATCCAACCAAGAAATTTCTTGACAAGAAAAAAAATGTAAAGACCTTTCCTTATTGTGAATATTTATTTCGGCCGGGGAGAGGGGGTTCTCATGCGTCATACCTTCATGTATATGACATTTTTTATACCAACTTAAAATTTCAGAGGGGTGGTCCGGACCTCTCTCTCTCTAGATCTATGCATGTAAAACTTATCTTATTTGTAAAAACAAAGAGATATAAATGTTTGATCGGCGTTTCCTATGTGGAGGGTCCAAAATCAATTTAAGTTTGTTTAGTTTATACATTAATCCATGACTGTACAAATAAATGCCCATCCCCCACCCCCGGAGACAACAAAACCCTTGAAGAGAGAAAATTTAAAAAAAAAAAAAGATTTGTCGTTTTGCAGATAAAGATGTTTTGAAAATAAATTCATATTTTCCATTATATTCTATAGTTAAAAAATTCCTCAAATTAAATATGTATATCTCTGTGTGTTATAATGTTTCACGTGCAAATATCTTGGGGGTGGGGTGGGCATTTATTTGTACAGTCATGGATTAATGTATAAACTAAACAAACTTAAATTGATTTTGGACCCTCCACATAGGAAACGCCGATCAAACATTTATATCTCTTTGTTTTTACAAATAAGATAAGTTTTACATGCATAGATCTAGGGAGAGAGGTCCGGACCACCCCTCTGAAATTTTAAGTTGGTATAAAAAATGTCATATACATGAAGGTATGACGCATGAGAACCCCCTCTCCCCGGCCGAAATAAATATTCACAATAAGGAAAGGTCTTTACATTTTTTTTCTTGTCAAGAAATTTCTTGGTTGGATTTTTTTTAACATGAGTGACCCTATTGGAAAAAATGTTCTAGATCCGCCCCCTTTTTTTGAAAATACACATAAATATCAATAAAAAAAAATTATTCAAATATGTGTCTCAGTTAGCAGTAAGCAGCTGACAGTTGGCAGTAAGCAGTTGGCTGTCGTATATGGCATTCCATACTGTTCAGTTAGTCAACTGTTTTAAAATTATTTTATCCATGGATTCAAATGTTTATACAAAGTCTTTAAAATACAAATTTTTTTACGTACATGAAGATTACAATCATGTATAACATCTGTTCGATTTCTTGATACTTGGTATTAAAAAATCAAAGTATTTGTACATGCATTATGCAACAAGTGAGAGTAGACAGCTTATCTTTATTAAATATCTTATTTCCAACTAAAGTTTTTTTTTATTCTCTCGTGAATTAAAGAGTTAAATTCTATCACTGGCGAAATTATACTTACACGTACCTGAATGCAGAAAATATTTTCATGTGCACAGTCTCGGCTTTATCCAAGGTTTTTAACCTGTCATCTATAAATGCCGTTTCCCCAATATTTTAATCTTATAAAATTTAATTTTATATTAATAAGAAAATAAGTTATTTGATATGCAGTATCATTATTTAAGAGCCTATAAATCGCAAGCAAAAAGCCTGGACGGGGGGGGGGGGGGGGTCGGGGGGGGGGGGGGGGCAAGGCGGCATATTGAAAAAAATTCCATTAATGGGAAAACATTTAAGAATTGGCCAACATGTTCACATTTTTAAACTTCATATTTCAAAAAAAAAACCAAACAAACAAAAACAATACAAACAAAAAATACGCCCACGAAATTACCTTTCAAAAGGGACTTCTAGCTGAGACGCCGCCCATAAAAAAAATACATTTTATATAAAGATATATGAATATTTAACATGTAGGATAATGCACTCTGAAAAGTAATTGAACAGAAAAAGAGAAATTATTTATTTTTAATCGTTTTATTTGCGCTTTTATGCAAAGAATTAACAACTTCCATGGAAAATTTGTAACTATTTAATTGTGACGCAATATTAGTCAGGTATATGACGTCACTGATACATCAATGGAAACGTGGATTCAACCTGAATAATACTGCCAATCTTAATCTATTATTATATTATTATTAGTATTACGTTTGGGGGCGAACATGAATTCTATTTTGAAAATAAAGTAGTAAGTTTTTGTTAAATAATTTTATTTTGTGTATATATTCTAAATATTTCACTAGGATTTCGATAGTAAGGTGTTAAGCAGATTTACCGATGCCACGGGAGATAACTCTTACATCGCAAAATTTCATAAAAATGTCTATATATTTTGACAGAAAACTACTATCAAAAGTGTTTTGCCCACCAATTTTATTTTTGAAACTGAAAGAGGAAATATTTTTAGATTTAGTTCAGCATGAATTATAGTCCTGTTAAATAAGTATTGGAAATTACAGTTCGTAGTTTCTGACCTAAAATCAATGGTTTATATAGGGGAATTCAAGAACACGAAACAAAACGATATTTTACTAAATAAGCAATTCTAAAACAAATCTTCGGTTACATTATTCCATTTGGACTACATTGATATTGTTTTCGATAAAATTTCAAATATTCGTCACTACCTAATTTTCAGTGGACTGCCCCTTAAATCATAAAACTGAAAATAGTGTTATATCCCTTCATCCCATGGATATCACTAATTGGATATTTTTTCATATTTTACTACTGTCCCAGGTGGGTATGTCGTTGAGTGGTGCAGACATTTTGTTTTCTACAAGTACGTGTAACATATAGAACAATTACATTCAGAATGTTTCAAGGCATACTCTTAATTGAATTGTAAAATTAGAACATTGGATTGTAAAATTAGCAGTCAATAAAAATGCTAAGACATTGAATGTTCAACTTTTTATTAGCTTTATAATTGTAAAATAAAAAGACTGAAACAAAGAAAACATGAAACCAAAAGAAACTCCTACAAATGTCTTACATTTAAGTAATAAATGGATTCCGTCAACAAATTCCTTGCATTCTCATTTCTGTAGCTGTGTATATATTGTGTGTTGATTCTTGTCTGAGAGATTGTTGGTATGAGTATAGAGCAGCCTGGTGATTCCCTGTCACCTGTTGACAGATCCCTAGAATCTGCCACGATATGTCTTTTAACATTGAATGTATAAACTGTCCCTGATCATAGTGAACTAGGGTCTGTAGATCATCTATAGCTGTTTGTACTCTCATTATGTCTACATGTCTGCAGCACAAGATCTCTAGCATGTATATTAGTAGAAAGGGTGGGACAAATATCAAGGATCTTCTGTTCTGTAGAGCAGACTGTTGTTCTGGTATCAATTCACTGATGTAAGGGATGTCATGGTCAAGTATAATATCCCATGCTACGGCCTGTCTCATCTTTGTAGACCAGGACTGTCCCCCTACAGCCTCTGTATACATCTCTGTATCTACATTATTCCTATACATCACATAAGGCTGCGCTAAATTGATCTTGATTGTCTCTACAACTGATAAAGCTTCCTTGTATCTAAGTGTCTTATAAAAATACATAACGATGTATACCATGTCAGTAATATAAGCGAACTTGGATGCTAATTTTAGCATATGACAAGACCTTTTGTCAGCTCTATACCTCAGTTTGTTTTTATTTGTGTAAGTTTCAAAGTGTAATATAAAGGCAGTGCTCTGAAGGATTCTGGCTGTAAGTTTCTGTAGCATTGGGACTTGATAACTTGTCAGGAGGAATGAATTTATCACCTCCTCTATTGTACGTAGATACCCCATACACCTTTGTATGTTCAATTTGCATACAACATCATAGGTCTCTATTTCTCCATAAAGGTCTCTATCAAACTCAGTCTCAGAAATCAGAGTATGGTCATCTGTACAGATGGAGAGTCTTGGATTATGGAGAACATTTATAATACAAGACCTAATGGATGGACTGTGTAGCAGGAATACTAAACCCTTCTCATACAACCCATACAGTTTTATAAATAATCGATGTTGTTTTTCACCATAAATTTTACTTAGAAACATATTGTTATCTGGAATGAAAAAGTTAGGACAGGTCCCCTCATACACCCATTTGAGAATAAGCTTAAAACAGACCCAGAAACACTCCAGGAGATTTTGTGGACACCAGTTTGGTATTATATTTTGTTGGATCGACCAAAAAGCTGATGTCTTCATGTGATAGGAACACAGTAATTTAACATTATCACTTAGTCCATTATTAATTATTTCTTTTAAGACAATTTTAAGTAAGCCGTAAGTGAGGAATTGACAGTGATTCATTGCATACACTAGTTTTTGTTCTGCCAGAGAGAAAGAAATTCTCCATTCATGGTCTACATGACTTCGTCCAATTGCTACAAAGTGACATCCATTTTTTACAATATCATCAACAACGTGGGGCATGGGCCATGAGTGACATCTGTCTATCCATGAGGAGGCAGATGGAGGCCAAAAGTCACAAACTAAACAGTAGGCAGAATCAAAATATAATGTTCCAATTGTTCCACTGACACAAGGTCCATGTTGAGTAGAAGTATTTGACGATGCATAACACATGATCTGTCTGTATATAAAACTAGATATATAATGTCTGTTATTCATTCTAACACAAGCAAACTGAATTTCTATTTTCATGCTTGGTGACAGTAAAAATAATAATGTAAATCCTGGCGGACTATCAGAACAGTCACAGAGGATCAGTGTTTGTCTGAGTGTGTTGTAATTCTGAGACTGGGATAAGTCCCAGATCACACGGTGATTATTTGGCCAGTACATCAAGTCTGCATCTGATCCTTTCAGTCTGAATCCCTCTCTGTGGCTGCCACTGAACATCACAGCTCGGTTATCACTTGTTTTCACATGATTTATCAACATATCCCTTACGTCCACCACATCTCTTCTCATAGCCACCAGTTGTGAGGTCCCCAGTTTATGACACAGTCGCACAAACACTAATTCTGATATGTTTTGTATGGCAAACTTACTAAAATGATGAAAGGGAAATTTATATTCTTGTATAATAAATGTGTAACTTTTGCAAATCAATAATAAAATTATCATTATTTATATTTTAAAAAATTACAAAATTGTAGACAGTGTAAATTTTCTATAAAGATTAATTGATTAAATAATAAAAAGATTTCTTATTATTAATGAACCAAAAAATAAATAATGATTAACTAAATTATTCATTTTTCAAGAAAGCATCTCATTTAATAATAACATACTTCAATTAATACAATGGTGTAAAAAGTTAAATCTAATTTTAGTGTTAACAAAATGCACTGATTCAGATAATTAAGGCATTATTAGTTATATATTGCTTTCTTTAAAACTTACATTTGAAGCTTCTAATGGAGTCCATTTTGAAAAGTGTCAGGTGCTACACAAAGTAGAGAAAAATAAATTTCAATACATCTTTAATTTTACAGTTTCCCAAGAAGAAATCTGTAGGTTCCAAATGATGATGGATTATGATTTAAGCAATGGATACCTGTGGCACAATAGATCTACCATAAACTCTTCAACTATATCCAATTTTTGTGCAGTACTCTCCTTATTTATGTTTATTACTAATTACAAAATGGACCAATCAGAATTGTTAGATTTATTGTTGCTGATTGGTAATGAGAGGTTTAATTTGAAGAATTTAAGAAGCAAATGTTTGATATACTGTTGCTGATAGGAAGTGAGAGGTTTTATAGGGAATATTTAACCAATCGGAATATTTAACCAATCGGAACAGTTATATACTAGCCGATGTAAATTGGTAGTGAGTGGTTTTACATAAATTATCTAACAATCATAACTGTTAAATATCTTGATTATTTATTGTTTTTCGGTGTGCACGGGATACCACTGGGATTATTTGTTTTTGATTGAGTGTTCAATATTGTTATCGGGTATCAGAAAGGCTTTACCCTTATTTATATACTGCTAGAATTTCTAGGGATTTATTTTTAATGTTCCTTTTAAGGTATTCGGCTGAATTTTGATTGAAACCAACATATTTCCATTTCTAATTTTTTTCTCTGTGATAACTGTTTGAAAGTTGTGGGAATTTATTTCTTGATAATTCTGCCGCCGGAATGTAAATTAGGCAGGTCGACAGGTCAGCAGCTAAGGAGGCCTACTACGCATGCAAATCTCGTGCGCATCTGTCCCTGTGTCTGACGCTAAGGAGGCCAAATATGCATGTAAATTTCGTGTGGCTGCCTTTGTGTTTGACGTCAGTGTGCGAGGACTATTGAAATTGGCATGGAAGTCCTCGTGTAATTTAAATCTATTAGTCTACATTTTTAATGTCTAAGTGTTCAATTTTATTTCACAATGAAATGGAAATATAAGGATTCGCCCGTTATGCAAATTATCCCATGTTTCCCACTATTGTTGATGCCCTGGCATACTCTCAAAACTAGACAGTGATTCCTTAATTAATATAAATTCGCTTATGATTATTTTTTCTTTAACTTGTAATTCCTTTGGGATAATATCCATTTGTTTGTAAATATTTCTTTACCTACAGTCATAATATAAACGACATTTGACAGGTTGGTATCTTATATTGATTTTAGTCCAGGTCCTTTTTGTATGGAAAACCATTATTACAACGCTCAGTTAATTCTGATGATGATAAAATTGTTGATCCAGGAACAGTTTATTCAACTTAAATTTATTTCGTGAGTGATTCTTCCTGCAAAATTAGGCGTTAATAAAACCTTGCAAATATAGAGCTATATATGGCCTATCTGAGCTATAAAAAAATAATAATGCCAGATTGCATATTGTTTAGATGATATATAATTATTTACTTTCCAATTAAAGTTTTCACAAATAAAACTCAGTAACCTCTCTTTTGTATAGTTTGACTATATATTGACTTCATACTTTTTCTGTTATTTTAAAGTGGAATCAATAAATAAATCGGTTACTGTTTTAAATTTTTGAAATCCTTGAATTGCAATTGATTTAAATTGTATAATTTACAGAAAAGTCCTATCTTCAAATGAAGTAGTAAAAACAAGTTGGAAAATGGTTTTAATTTTGGTTATCTAAACTTATCAAAAATACGTTATAAATAGTTTTAATGGAATTTGCAGTATCATATCAAAGAAGGATATGGAGATAAGGAACAGTATTTAAAGGAAAATTAAAATGTCACAAGTTGGTAAATATCTCAAAGATCAGTAATGTCATGCTTGATATTTTTGAAGAGATCGCTTAAAATCTCTGTAAGGACTGAATTTGTAAAGATTGATCAGTCCTCAGAAATACAAGGAATTTGTAAACTGTCTAAAGATTGTTTTCCTGTCAAATTCTTAAAGGGACGACCATTTCAGGGTAGGAGTTTTGGTCGGATTTTGCAAAAAAAAAAATCTTCCTGCCACTTGGAAGAAAATAACCATCTGATTTTGAATGCCAATGTCTACCCCTACCTCAATCCCCATCCCTTTATGACGTTAATGAAGAATTGGAAGATTTCCTTATTTCTTTACCCTTTTTCCATTAACTCTCATTTAGCCATTGTATATATTTTATCTCAATATACAAAATAAGAGCAGAGCAAACACGGACCTCCGAAACATCAGAGGTGGGATCAGTTGCCATGGAGGAGTGAGCATCCCCTGCCGACTGTTCACACCCACCGTGTGCTCGTTGTCATGATCAGGAAATAACGGAAAAAAATCCGTCGGCAATTCAGTGTATAAATAATGGACTGAGCAAAGGCAGAGATTCAGCGTAACGAAGATGACCGGAAACAGAGACACAATACAGGAAAAGATAATGATGAGTTGCAGATCGGTGACTGTGTGTACGTAAGAAACTGCTTGGTTACATCACTCATGATCAAAATAATATGAAAAAATAAATAAAAACTAATAAATACATATAGAAATAGATTTCATAATATCACACTATGTCTGCCCGTACAACACATCTCTAAAAAACATTTTGTGAGTTTTATTACCTGGTAGTGACCCACGTGCAACAATTATTATATGATTTAAAGTAAATTTATGAGCAAAACACAGTTAATATTTTGTGTGTATTTGTAACATTATTCTGTATATATATTATTTATAAATGAAAGATTAAAGTATTAAATCAAGATGTCGGACCATTTACTCTGGAACCTGAGAGGAAGTTCCGAGTGTGCCACGAAGTCCTTTTACAACAAACATTGTCCCGTGCAGCCTTTACTTAAAGCAACAGGAGAATTCTATTCAAAATAGAGGATTTCTCTACCTTCTCATTTGGACCAATCTGGGACCATGACTAAAGGACCAGGAACTAAATAAAGACTTTCTTTAAATTACATATATTTTGTAAAATTTTTGGTTAATTTGCTTTTGGTTGAATTTTTTGTTTATTTGTTCTTAAATTTTCTTCTTTTGATTTATATACGTTCATCAGGGTATATAAAAAGCGTCCTCAAACGATTATACCCTAACAAAAAATACTATAGTTAACTATTGACGATTTTGATTTTGATTTACTATAGTTAACTATAGTAAACTATAGCTAACTATAGTAAATCAAAGTGTCAAAGTTTTCGTCAAAGTTTTTCAAAGTGTCAAAGTTTTTGTCAAAGTTTTTCAAAGTGTCAAAGTTTTCGCCAAAGTTTTTCGAAGTGTCAAAATTTTCGATAAAGTTTTTCAAAGTGTCAAAGTTTTCATTAGAGTTTTTCAGTTTGTCAAAGCTTTCGATCAAGTTTTTCAAAGTGTCAAAGTTTTCGATCAAGTTTTCCAAAGTGTCAAAGTGTTAGATAAAGTTTTTCAAAGTGTCAAAGTTTTCGCCAAAAGTTTTCAAATTGTCAAAATTTTCGCCAAAGTTTTTCAAAGTGTCAGAGTTTTTGCCAAAGTTTTTCAAAGTGTCAAAGTTTTTGTCAAAGTTTTTCAAAGTGTCAAAGTTATCACAATAGTAAATCAAAGTTTTCAAAGTGTCAAAGTTATAATTATAGTTAACTATAGTATACAGTTATGGAATGGGTACGAGGGAAATAGCAAATTTATGGTTCCCCGAGGAAGGAAATAGTTTCCTGCCGAGGGAAAACATAAATTTGCTATTTCCCGAGTTCCCATTTCATAACTGTTTTATTATACTGAAACAATCATAGGCGATTCCATATTTTTCTAACCATATATTCCGACATTTAAAAAAACACTGTAGACGCATAATTACAAACGCATGCGGTTTTACACATTGTATGATAAGTAATAAATCGTGTCCTAAAACAATTTAATTGTTTTTAAAAAGTATTTTCACTGACATTTCGAAGAATTATCGTTGTCTCCATTTTGCTGGAATCCAAGTATGATTTTGACATCGCATGTCGAAATGTTTTGACGTCATAGTTACATTGCTAATAACATGACATCACAGACTCGAGATGTCTTGAACGCTTCGCCCACTGAACACCTTGATTGGTTAAAATTAATAATAAATATTCATGAGGGAGTAGTCCCAGGGAGTTGCTCTGATTTTCCAGGGAGTAGTCTTCAGTTAAGTGCAGTAGTCTCTTCTCGGGGAAATAGACAGTTTTATGGTATGAATTTTATATAGAGTAATTACAGTCGAGGTATAATAATTAACTATAGTTCACTAGAGTAAAGTTTGTTAGGGCAGAACCTCCGAAATAATGACTTTAAATGAGATTGCTGATATTCTTGTTTCATCAACGTCTTTGTGAATAATTTACTCGTTTAAGACATTGTACATACGTAGCTATTGAACATGCTCTAGCGTTTAAGAAATTGTTCATACGTAGAGCATGCTCTTGCGTATCGCATCAACGGAGAGATATAAACACCACATGCAGGTGATGAAGGTATATCGCTGCATAAGTTAGGGATATTGATGATCGAAATGTGAAGTCATCACGTTTATCATAGAGCTTGGTTGTTAGATTACCATTGACGTCTTTTTCAAGTAAAATATCCAAATGAAACAATTGTGTCAGACTCTGTTGCTTATTTCAAGCTCATTGTATATTGTATTGACATAAGAATGGAAATTACCATTCTCAATTTACAAAACGTCGTCGATGTATCTTAATGTGGAGTTGAAGGACACAAGAAGTGTTTTTTTTCTTTTCACATGCAAAATTTTGCACAAATTCTGCTTCATATGAAGACAAAAATCTGCTAATAAGGGGGTACAGTTCGTACCCATGTGGATTCTATGGAAGACCTGAAAAAGAATCAGAAACTCAAGCATCATCTTTTTAATGTAAAAGATCGGCTATTCATTAAACAGATACTCTTATGACCTACCTTTCGCATCTTTAAAAAAAAAAATGCTTAAATGCCATTAAGACAAGGTTCATGTCTTTGAAATGCTACTTTTCATCATAAATTATTATTCCGTTTTTTGCTTTACTCTATATATATCTTTCACACTTGGACAATATAGGGCAGCTCTTTTGCAAAAAAAAAAAATTAACTCAACACGAAAATAACAGACTGAAATAAAGCACATATAAGTTGACCATGAAGAATCCGACATTCACCCTACCGACGCACACACCGCCCTTCACATGCTAGTGTCCCTCACAGCATATATGTGACCATTAAAAGGGTATCTTTTATCCATTTTGTATCTCCATACATGGCACAGGTTTAAATGTAAAGTAGTTAGAAGTAAATCGTCAACTGTAAAAGTCATCGTCTTCGCAAAAGTCCAGAAATGTCACAACAGCCGTCGTGCTTTGTTCAGTCAGACACAGCAAATTTTTTTTTTCTGTTTACATTTTTTTATCTATAAATATAATCAATAAAAACAAAATATACAACATATTTTTACAAAAATTATCCACAATGAATATCACTTTAAGTCTCTAGTCTGTTTATATCCATCCCAGTGTACCACGTGACCGCGTCCTGACACTCCCCGTTTTAAGACAGACTCCCGTCAACTGGTTCACAGTGGGTTTTCGGTCTAGGTGACGCTGGTACCAAGTGTCCACACAAAATGACTGGAATATAGCTGGAGTATGACTTGAATATATATGGAATATGTCTGTAACCTTAAATTAAATTATATTTTAAGTCGCAAATTACGTATACTAAAAAACAAAAGTCAACTTTGACTACAATTGCAATTATGGCACACCATACATTACAGTACCGGTAAATCTAACCGAGCACCATTATAAGACAACGTCAAGAATACACAATATCTTAACAAAAGTGGTTTTAACAATCGAACCCACAACACCGACTTTATAAGCGGCAAAACAAAATAACCTACGTGCGTACGTAACTTAGTGCATTGCACAAAAAAAGAACAATACACGCATGAGTAATTCTACTCAGCAAAACTTGTTTACGTAAACAGTAACGAAAAACATCACTTAACTCAATTTTTTATATAACTTTACATCTTGAATGTAGTACTTAAAACTTATAATTGAAATAAAAAGAAAAAGTAAACTTACCCCTTATGGCGAAATGGTTACCGTTAAAAACCTACTTATCTAAACATCTTGGATTGTAGTATCTCAAGCATGTAAAAATCTATCAAAACGTGGACCCCCGGCTATGTGGTAAATACCTCCTAATACAATAGGTCGTAACTGACCAATGCCTGCAAAACTTACCTCGAGGTTTAATAAAGGTAACAATATATAGAGGTCCAATAAAGGGTTAATAAAATAAAAACCATAAACAGAATGTAAATACAATTATAATTAAATATTGATTATGACAAAATCTCCCCAACATAATAAAGTTAAAAAAAACACAATTAATATGGCATAAAATTATATACATATCTAAATTCTGCTTAGACAATCAGCTTCTACATTTTTAGAACTCTTGATTGAAATAATGCAAAACCTGAAAGGTTGCAGAAGTAATGCCAAACGCATAAGACGTGCAATAGACACTTTGGCTTTGGTAAGATATAATAGTGGTTGATGATCTGTTTCTGGTAGAAATTCCTTACCGTACAAATATCTGCGGACAGGTTATCGCATAGCACCCTTTCTCGATTGTAGAGTAATTTACCTGATATTTGGAAAGTTTTTTGCTAGTGTATGCGACAGGTTTTTTACACCATCTTCTTCCTGCATTAAAACTACCCCAACGCCTCGATCTGACGCATCAGTCTGTAAAGCAAAGTTTTTTTACAAATTAAGTAGTTTAAGAACTGGTGTTACCGTTAAAGCGGTCTTGAGAGTGACGAATGCATTTTCCTTCGGCTCTCTCCGACTCACTTTGTTCGGCTGGCCTTTCTTGGTAAGATTTAAAAATGGCGAAGCAACAGCTGAGAAATTGAATGAATTTGCGATAGAATCCTACCAGACCTAAAAATGATCATACTTGCTTCTTCGTTGAAGGTTGGGTAAAGTTGTGAATGGCAGAAACTTTGTCAGGTAGAGGTCTAAGTTCTTCATTTCCAGCAATATGACACTCAAGACTCCGGTAACCAATAAAACATTTACTTGGTTTCACAGTCAAATTTGCAGCACGAAGTCTTTACAGACGTTCCCGATTCACCTTGATGTGTTCCTGAAAAGTTCGAGTGTACACAATCAAATCGTCTATAAAGTTATCAACACACTGCAGTCCATCTAAGAGCTTTCGCATCAGGCGACTGAAACTTGCAGAAGCGTTGATCAAGCCAAATGGCATCACCCTGAATTGAAACAAACCCGATGGTGTTTGGAAATCGGTGATCTCCTTCGATGCATCATCCAATGGCAGCTGCCAGTATCCCTTAGATAGATCAAATTTTTACACGTATTTAAAGCTAGATGATTGCACATAAATATCATAAGCATTTGGAATGGTTTCTGCATCGAAAACAGTTACTTTATTAATTGCTCGAAAATCGATACAAAACCTGTTCGAACCGTCTTTCTTTTTCACGATGACTATCGGTGAACTGTATGGACTCGTCGAAGGCTCGATCACATCGGCTTTCACCATCTTCCTTACCCCGTCACAAACAATGTCTTTTGAAGTAAACGGCAGAAGATAAGGCTTGGTGCGTGTAGGCTTTTCATTAGTCAACTTTATATGATGAACTCCGAGATTCGTCAAACCAGGTACATCTGATAAAACATCTGAAACATTCTCTAGTAATGTCTTGACATCTGCTTTTTCATTATCAGTTAGTTCATCACTTACTTTCACATCTACCGGTCCCTCCTTTTTTGTTTCTACTGGAGAATCACACAACACCTCGTCATCGCTCTCTCTGTCATCATCTACATCGAGTACTGCAGCGCCTACAATACCTTCATTACTCTCATTTTCTCTAGATCTGTCAAAGTACATCTTCAACATGTTTGCATGAAATGTTTAGATTTTTCCATTCACGTTAATTCTGTAATTAACTTTTCCAAGTCACTCTATAATTAATTCTGGACCTTTCCACTGCATTGTAATTTGTTACTGGCAGGTGGTATAAGAATAAGAACTTTCTGACCTTTTGACATTTGTCTATTTCTTGCTCCTTTGTTTGTAATACTTCTGGTATTTTTCTGACGACTTCTGTAGATTCACTATCGCCATTCTGCCCGTAGCTTCTAGTCGTTCCTTCAAATCAACATCATATTGGTATGTAGTTCTAACCTCTGCATCTATGCTTCTTCTTTAGTCTACAACTCTCTCCTCTAACTTCTTGTCCGTAGACCAATTCCAACGGTGAGAATCCTAGACTCTCCTGTGGTGCATCACGGTAAGCAAACAATGAGGCTGATAGATACTTTTCCCAATCAGTAGGTCGTTCCGCACATAGCCGTCGGAGTATCTGCTTCAATGTACAGTTAAACCGCTCGACCAGTCCATTGCACATGAGGTGGTACGGTGTCGTTGTTAACTGTCGTATAGAAAGTAAACGAATAACCTCTGTCATCAGCTCGTATGTAAATTGTGACCCAATATCCGTGAGCATTTCCTTTGGTACTCCTACTCTAAAAAATACATCTGCCAGGGCCTCAGCGACTCGTTCAGTGTCAATTCCCTTTAAAGCAATTGCCTCTGGGTAACGGGTAGCAAAGTCAACAATAGTCAAAATGTAACGATTGCCCTTACTGGTTGTTGGCTGGATAGGTCCTACCAAGTCGACAGCTACACGTCTGAACGGTACCTCAATAATAGGCATATTTCCGAGAGGAACCTTTGTAGCCCTGCCTTTCGGAAAAGAACGTTGACAGATGTCGCATGATCTGCAGAATCGACATACGTCCGCTTGAACTCCCGGCCAATAAAATTCTGCAAGGACTTTGCTGGTTGTCCTGGAAGTACCTAGGTGACCTGTCATAATAGATTCATGAGCAAGCGAAAGAACCTAAGTCCTATATTTCTTCGGTACTACTACATGTAGCTGTGTAAAACGTTTTACCATTCTGATGTTTATCTGACTAGAAGACACAATAAATGATACCTTCCTTAATAATATAAGAAACCTAGAAATTGTCGTCATGTCCAACCAAAGTACGTATCTTGACTAACGTCCCGTCTTTCTCCTGTGCCGCCAGGATGTCGTCAGGACATATATCAGCGTCGATAATATCTGGAACATGAAGAGATTTGGGCTTCTTACCTTCCTTTTGAGCTTGTTGCCTTGTCACTACTGCATGCGCTTGATAAGGTGTCCAGTTTCTATCCGGATAATTTGGATCTCTTGCGTTTGGGATGTTCCCGATGATCAAGGAATACTATGGATTTTCTAAACACCAAACGTCTATTTCACCCACAAAGTATGGAGTGGCTATTTTCACTAGTGCAACAGGTGCTTTAATTCCAAATCCATCCGCCAGAACACAAATTCGATGAATTCATGTAAGCTGAATATCATCTATCAAATCCCTACGAAGTACAACACCGTTACAACCAGTGTCTCTAAGCACTGTCACAAAACGTTCATTTGTTGGCACTGAGATACTACGTGGCCCAGTCTGTCATACTTGAAGCAACGAACTTCTTTCTTTATTGTTTTCATGGGTTGAAACTTCAATCCTGGTTTCTGATCTCGCTGTTCCTGTTTTTTCGATGACTGACTTTTCCCTGGAGAGTTCTCCTTCTTGATAAAATAAACTAATGTCTGAATGTTAATATGCCCTGCCTCTCTAAACTGATCTGCTAAATCACATTTCTCTGATGTTTTTCGGTATGCGTTCTTTCAAAAACAATGTCAATTCTTTGTTACAGTAAACAGAAACTGATCTCTGAGTATCATATCGTAGAGTCCATCAAAAGTCTTGTTAACTCGACCAAGTTCAATCCACCTATCGAGATAACTACCGAGACGAACAACAAACTGTAAAAAAGTTTCCCCAACATCAGGTCTGCTCTTACGGAACTTTTGATGAAATCCATCCTCCGCCTTTCAAACCTTTTTAGAAACGCCGTCTTTAGAGCATCATAGTCCAACGCTTTCTCTTGCGGCAATAGTGCATACACATCCAGTGCACGAGCTCTGAGTAGTTCGCTCAAGTTAACAGCCCAACTGTCCGGCTTCCATTTCTGTGCTGCAGCATACCTTTTAAAACGTCTCAAATAAGAATCAATATCATCCTTAACTTTATCAAATACAGACATCTTTGGAAATTTGCATTTGCCAGTATTTTCTGATTTCGTTTCTAACTCCTTTACAGCTAACTTTTCCTCTAAGGTTTGAATAGTTTTCATGAATTTACTCTCAATCTCTTCTGTACCTTTCTTTTCCTGTAGTTTAAGTTTCTCAATTTCAAGTGCTTCTTTACTGAGATGATATCCCCTTTCCTGTTTCTCTTTCTCCCTTTCTGCTGCTCGTACCTCACGCTGATGTGCCTGTTGTTGCTTTATAAACTGCTGCAAGTCCGCCCCAGTCAAGTTTAGACTCTGGCCATACTCTGCAAGTTCTTTCAATGTCGACATTGTAATAGAACTAAATACTGACTAAACATGAAAAATATTATTACAATCCAGGAAAACAACATTGATTTTCAAATCAAAAATGAAAAGTGAAAAATCTTTCTAAAAATATATGTATACTAGTCTCTCACAGATAAATTAAGAATTATGAATAATTAACTGAATTCATATAAAACAACGCAACGGTAACCTAGCTTTCTCCATTTGGGGCTCCATCAAAAAACCAAGTGCTGACATCTTGAGGTTGTCAAAAATCTTTAGAAAAAATTCTTTGACTGCAAAATACAACATAAAAAAAAATATCAAACAAAAATAGCATAAATGTGAATTACAAAAATACAGTTAACTATACAGAATTATCCCACTTCTGACACCAATTGTTTTGACAGTCGTCGTGCTCTGTTCAGTCAGACACAACAAGATTTTTTATCTATAAATCAAATCAATATAAAACAATATTTACAACAAATTTATCCCAACATTATCTACAATAAATATCACTATATCCATCCCAGAGTACCACGTGACCGCGTCCTGACCGCGTCCTGACACTCCCCGTTTAACGAGAGACTCCCGTCAACTGGCTCCCAGTGGGTTTCCGGTCCAGGTGACGCTGGTGCCACGTGTCCACACAAAATGACTGGAATATAGCTGGAGTATGACTGGAACATGTCTGGAACCTTTATTTTAAGTCGCAAGTTACGTATACTAAAAAACAAAAGTCAACATTGACTACAATTGCAATTATGGCACACCATACATTACAGTACCGGTTATTCTAACCGAACACTAATATACGAGGGCTTTTCGGAAATTATTGAGACAATTACATTTACTCCATAAAGAACAGAGATAATTTCATGAAAATTTATCAACATTTCATAAAGAACAAATAAAACACTTATGCAAAAGTTCAAATTCCTATTATTATAAGACAGGTATCGGTGGAATGATAAACATGCATATGTCTATCGACCCGGAGCAGCATCGCTACATCATTTAACGTCACGTCAGTCAATGATGGTTTCGCATGTAAAACGATCGGGAAGCGTTTCATACTTTTCCTTCTTTGTTATTGCATATAACACTACAAAAATCATATAGTATCTTTTCTTAAACTATTCTTTAATGATTTATGATGTTGCTACCCCAGTGTATAATTTTCATTTGTGGGAAAGGATGACTTAGAATCATGCAGTGCCGATTTATGCAACGTTGGTCACTGATATTAATACCGTAACGATATTATTACCGTGCGTAATAACTGATGGTCGTCCGGAGCTTTTGATTTTACCCTGGTTATATGAATTACTTGTCTAAAAAAGAATGTATACCAAGGAAATAACAAACCCCAACACATTATTTTTTATTGTTTTTATTGTTTAAGCAGGTCGTTCAGTCTGGAAAAGAGTTTTTTATTGAGCTACACAAAAATTTAGGTATGCTGGCTGCTCCGCCCTTGACGTCAAAATCCATTTCTTTGTTCTCAGCAGATTTCTTTACCGCGCTTAATTTTTTTATGATCTCCATATTTCTGAACGAAATTCTAACAAAGTTGCACAATACGAATTTGAAAAGAAGCTGAAAAATTATACGCTTAAACTGAATTAATATCGCTCTTATTATGGGTCTACGAAGAGTTAGAATGTTGGTGTTTAATATTTTCAATATCTAATTTCGTAACTGCTCCGGGTACCCCTACTATTGATGCATTTATATACCATTGTACGGGATATATTTAATATTTGTAAAATATGTTTTGCTTTTATTGATTCTTATTGTATGTCACCGAAAGACGTTCATTAGAAAGCAAAATTTATAAAGTGTCTCAATAATTTTCGAACAGCCCTCGTAAGACAACGTTAAGAATACACACTATCTTAACAAAAGTGATATTAACAATCAAACCCACAACACCGACTTTATAAGCGGCAAAACAAAATAGCCTACGTGCGTACATAACTTAGTACATTGCACAAAAAAACAATACACACTTGAGTAACTCTACCCAGCAAAACTTGTAAAACAGTAACGAAAAACATCACTTAACTCAAATTTTTATATAATTTTACATCTTAAATGTAGTTCTCAAAACTTACATTTAAAATAAAAGGAAAAAGTAAATTTACCCTTTATGGAGAAATGCTTACCGTTGAAAACTACTTATCTACACATTTTGGATTGTAGTACCTCAAGCATGTAAAAATCTACGTAAAGGTTTCTATCAAAATCATGATCAGAGGTATGTACAGATAGAGAGTCTAGGGTTATGGAGGACATTTATAATATAAGGCATAATGAAGGGATTATCTAGAAGGAAATCGAAAAACTTCTCATACAATTCATATATTCTATTAAATAATTGATATTTTTGAGGCCCTTAATGTTACTCATTCACATGGTTTAATTTGGAATGAAAAATGGGA